CCAGACCAGTAGCTGTCATTTTCTGCAGCCACACACAATTTTTATAGTCTTCTTAAAGTGTAAAGATAAACACATTCCTTAACATGATGCAAAGTTAAAGTAACTTTGTAACATTTTATTTTTTATTTACTTTTTGTAACTTTAACATTTTAAGTGGAGTTATATGTATTAAAAGCTATGCTTTATGACCAAGGTTTTGAAGATAACTAAGAATCTTGGAAATCGTGTTTTAAGCTGACACTCTATAAAACATAATTCCCATCGATATAAAAGTTTGTCAGAATTATGATTCAGTTTAGTTAAAGACAATTTGGTTTTCTTATGCTTTTTAAGCTTTATGTAGGGATACTGTTAATCTGATCAGTATCCATATCAGAATATTAGGAAGTTCAGATTAACTAGTCTCTTCATTTGGAAAATGCAAACCCATACCTTTACAAAATCATGGAGAAAATATAGGTATGTATTTTAAACCAAAATTATTAAATTAGTCTTATTTGCCTAAAGATTCACTTCTATTATGTGAACTGGGCTTTCTATAAAAATATTTCTGAGCTTCTAGCAGAATCTCTAAGAAGGATTTTTTTCTTAAATGTCTAGCTCACTTAAAGTCTTCATAAGATACTAGAATATAAGATTTATGAAAGTGCTTGCTATTCTCTCTGAACCAGATTATCACTCCTTTAACTTCCAAGACTTTATAATTTAATTTATTAATACCCTTCTATGTTAGGAACATATTTCATGCATACACAGTGAGAGATAATGGCTTTTCTCAATTACAACAACACAGAATTTGTCGCTTCTGTTCTGCAACCTCGGAAAGAGCTTTAAGTAATCAGAGAAACACAAAAACTCACCAGTCAGATTTCAAAGGGCTATTTTACTTTCTAGTGTTCAGGAAATTTTTTATGAAATACTTTAAGCCCACAAATAGACAAAAAAAAATTAAAGGATAGTAACTCAAAATTTTTATGAAATACTTTAAGCCCACAAATAGACAAAAAAAAATTAAAGGATAGTAACTCAAAATTTTTTTTATCATCTTTCACATGAGAGATAATAGATCCCTATAATCCCAGTAGCTGTCTCGAAGGGTCAGAATATAAAATTACACTCCTACTCATGGCTGCTACCAGTGGGGAGTGATTTTTCATTGTTGTTTAGCGCAAACTAGATCCAGAACCAAAATGGCCAAAGCCAGAAAAAAATTCAGAAGTACTACATTAGGACAAAACCATGTTAACAAAGATAGTGCTCTGTTGCTGCTTTAGAATCAGTCCGGGGACCAAGCAATTATTCCTGGGCTTAAACAGCCCATGAAACGTATTTTCTGTGGTAACAGTTGTATTGGCTTTGTGAATCCACTCTGGCATCTTGGTGGAAGCTCCGAAGCTATCGTAGGCTTATATGCAGAGAGTTAAAAAAATGACTTTCATACATATAAAATGAACACGGATTAGACTTGACTTAACCCACTAATTAATGAGAGAACCAGTGAGATGTGGTAAATGTGATTCAAAGGACATTTTAGACATGCGTAGTTAAAGACAAGTTAATAAAGTAGTATTAGAATAACATTACTAAGTTAGATATAAAACTAGTTAATATTCTACAGGGAAATAAACCATGGCCTATGGGATTATCTTTTCTAACAGAAGGAAAGTATCTGAATTTATTCAGGACAGAAAAATCTGCAAATTAACATGCAACTTAAGTATATCCAGGATTTTAATCAATTTTAAACAGTGGATCAATGAAAATACATTCCCCCAAATTATCCTTGGGTGGACCTGTTAAATAATGCGCCTAAATCATATTGAAAAGATAGGTTGCTCTCCTTTTTATTCTTATTTTCAAACTTTAACTCTTCTTAACACATGGCAACAACATATGATATACCCAACACTTGTCCAGAGTAATTATAGTGGCATAAGGTTTATTGGTGGGAAGTGTCAATATGATAAAGATGTCAGTGTTCCCCAAACTAATCTAAAAATCAGTATGATTTTATTAAAACCTCAACGAGTGTTTTTATAGAACTTGGCAAGTAAGTCCAAAACTAATTATGAAGAGAAAAAGCTCAAGAATAGCTCAGAAAAATTTGAGGACAATGAACAAGGTGGAGGGAATTATCCTATGAAATGTCAAAACTAATTATGAAGCAATAGAGTGTGCAGAGATAGACAGACAGACAAGTAGAAACTAGTAGAAAACCCAAAACATGTTGATGCACATTTGAAACCCTGACAGATGCAGCACTACAAATCGGTGGAGGAAAAGTGAACTCTTATTAAAAGTTATTAAGGCATTTGTTTATAACACTTGGAAAACATAAAAATAGACTGCTAACACATATTATAATAAAAAATAACTTCCGGGTGGATAACTACCTAAATGCAGAATGGCAAAATGTTAAAACTTTTAGAAGAAAATAATAGAATGTTGTTATAACCTTGAGGCAGAAAGGGATTCCTGAAACAAAACACAGAACTACCTGATACAAAGCTGAAATTTCAAATGTGATTATATTTTTAAAAATTGTTTTCCTCAAAATCACCATTTTTCAAAGAAATGTGAAAAGACAAGCCACAGATTGGGACAAAGATACTTGCAACATATTTAATTGAGAAAGTGTTAGTATACAGTATGTATAAGGACATCTTCAATAAATCAATAAGAAAAAAGACACCCAGCCCAACAACATCAACAAAAATGGGTAAAAGACATGATCTAACAGTTTGCAGAAATGGACAAATGACTCAGAAAAATATGAATAAACGTTCAACCACACTGGTAATCAGGCAAATGCAATTAAAATCACAGTGTCATGTCTTTTTATACTTACAAGATCACCAGTATTTATTTTTTTTATTTTTTATTTTTTATTTTTATTTATTTATTTATTTTTATTCTTATGTTAATCCCCATACATTACATCATTAGTTTTAGATGAAGTGTTCCATGATTCATTGTTTGTGCATAACACCCAGTGCTCCATGCAGAATGTGCCCTCCTCAATACCCACCACCAGGCTAACCCATCCTCCCACCCCCCTCCCCTCTAGGGAACGAACCCTCAGTTTGTTTTTCAGAGTCCATCGTCTCTCATGGTTCGTCTACCCCTCCGATTTCCCCCGCTTCATTCTTCCCCTCCCGCTACCTTCTTCTTCTTCTTTTTTTTTTCTTAACATAAGATCACCAGTATTTAAAGGGTCAGAATATACCAACTATTGGTGAGAGTGTGGGAAGTCAGAACCTTTCATACATACAGTGCTACTGAGAATATGCATCGGCATAAGCATTTTGAAGTAAAATTTGTCTGTTTAAGTTGAAAAAGCGTATGTTCTTTGATTCAGGAGTTCTATTTCTAGGTGTATATCATGGAGAAACTCACACACGTGTGTAAGGAGACACATATGAGCAGTATTCATAATGGCTAAAATGGAAAACAATATAACTGTCCATCTGCAAATAACGGATGAATATATTTTGATATATTCACAAAAGATGTATATACCTGGTTGTTAAAATGAATTAGTAGAATGGTATTTATAACTGTAGATAAATCTCATACATAACGTTGAATGAAGCAAACTAAATTATGGAATGAGAGGCACACTTCACAATGTTTGAAAACTGCAGATGTACACATATTGTGCATATTCATGTATACATATTATTTCTACTTCAAAACGTCCATAGGAAGACTGAGCATCAAAATTAGTATGATGGTTACATCTATGGAAGCAGTGAAGGGACTAGAATTAGAGATGAATAATAAAGGGGCTCTAGCTTTTCTGGAATACATTTCTTTAGGAAAAAATCTGACTCAAATATTGCGCAGTGCTGAGATTTGATAAAGTTGGGTGTTTGGTACATGGGTGTTTATTACCTAATTCCCTCTGCATTTCTCCATGATTGAAATACTTCAGGAAAAAAAAAGAGAAATACTTCCTTTTGAGGAATAAAAAAATGGTATGTATAAAACATGTATATAAACTTAAAAGCATTATACATTAAACAACACTAATACTGTATATTGCTCCTAAACATAAATAAATATATGCATTTATATACGTGTGTGCACACATAAACATACATACAGTTATGAGCATTATCTATTTCAAGCGTACAACTTGAACAGGAAGGATTCCCTGCAATTCCTGTTGTTTTTTCTTGAAGAGGAGAGGTGGAAAGCAGGATTAGGGATGAGGCCCACAGCATATTTCAGCTGGATCTGTTGTTTTATGTAATTTATTAAGGACCAAAAATGATGTAAGTATGTCATACATTAGCAGTTACCAGTTCTTTGTGATAGGAATATGAATATTGGGCAAACTGAATCTCTCCATTTAGTATTGCTTTTCAAAACAATCTATTTTTCAAGACGATCTTTTATTTTATTTTATTTTTTATTTTATTTATTTATTTTTTAATTTTATTATGTTATGTTAGTCACCATACAAGACGATCTTTTAGAAACATTAAGGATGTGAGGGCGATCTGGCTGCGACATCTGTCACCCCATTGCTCTCCAGGGTTGATTCGGCTCATCTGGCTGGCTAGGCAGGTGTCCCCTTTCTCCCTCACCACTCCACGTGCGTCCCTCCCGAAGCTGTGCGCTCGGTCGAAGAGGATGACCTTCCCCGATAGAGGAGAACTGTTCTGCACTCCCCTGCTAGAGAGAGCTTCCAAACAAGCTCTCAAGGTCCATTTGTAGGAGAACATAGGGTAGTCAAGCTTCCAAGACTCCAGACACATGCAAATGAGGCTCTGCACGTGGCAGTCTGCCTTTCTTAAAAAAAAAAAAAAAATTAAAATAAAAAAAATAATAAAAACATTAAGCATTTGACTAAGATCGGAGCTTGTGGATAAAAGACAAATTTTGGGGTCAGTAAGAGTATCATAAAATCAAGTACTTTGTCAACTCATGTTTTGAAAATGATAATGTACTATCAGAGAAGTTAATTGTGGCTAATTTTTCTCCTCTTCCCAAAGAATACAAGTCAATGACCAGATTGTGGAAGTGGATGGAATCAGCTTGGTGGGTGTCACACAGAATTTTGCTGCAACGGTTCTCAGAAACACCAAGGGCAATGTCAGGTAAATATGTGGCTTCAGATATGTATAATTTTATTACTTAACATTTTGTTGAATTTCAGTTTTCTAGAATTGTACCTGTAGTTATATGTAATTACAATGAAGATTTTATCTAAATACTCAACACCTGCCTTTAGTTTTTAATGTTTCCTTCTTTGTTGTAATTAGTTTATGCAAATGTAATTTAAGACCAAAACTTACGGTATTTTAGAACGACATGAAGATATGAAGTGTACCGTGTGAATCAATATGGTTAATTACTGAACTAAGTGTGCCTCACTGCATAACATTTCTGCTTAAGTCCTCAACAAATATGAATTTAGACTCTAAAGCCTTTTAATAAAACTAGTTATACAGTAAATTGAAATTGAAATGATTATACATGTATCCAGCAGTACATGTTTTTAGATAAACTGGCTAAATTATTTGAGGTTAATACATGCATTTAAAAAATCTCTTTATAGACTTTATAGGACTAATCTTTGGCAAACTGTAACTTTGCCACCTTAATAGGACAGAGGGTACATTCTTTTGGACCTTGAGATATATATCCTGTCCTGGGGTTCTGAAAATTGTAGCTTAGAAAACAGATAAGAAAGTAGTCCTGAGCCAACTAAGGTCAAGGTTTGAAATCCATTTTATTTGGTCATAGGTATTTATTTTTAAATATCGTGTTGCTTATGTCCTAATATTTTTCCATCGGTCCTACAAAGGAACACAGAGGGGACACTATTTAGTGTGGGCAATTATGAAAATGTTTTGGTGTTACCATCAGAATGTCACGGCCAGATACTCTGAAATATCAATGAGTTAATATTGCTGTAAAGAGGGTAACACGAGGATGTTATTGCAGCGGGTTTTATGTTGCACAAACATGGGTTTAAGTTTTAGAATTTAGACTTTTTCAGTTGGAAAATACCCTTTAATGCTGAAGGAAATGTTTAAAGAATGCACCATCAATGACTTCTATGGGTGCTATGTTGATGCTTCAAGACTACCCGTAGTCCTGAGAAAAGTATGTGAAATAATTGGGAAGAGCACAGAAAAAACTGTCTGATGCTCTCTTAGAGCCGTGTGTGGGGGCTCTCTCAGGAAATGTGACTGTCTTTCTGCAGACAGCACTTTTCCTGTCGGTAGAGAACTTGGTTTTCAAGCTGCCCGTTAGGCTTTGAAGTGAATTTTAAAGTGAAATATTAGTAAGATACACATTCAACTTGTTAAGAACATTGTTCTTTTTTCTTTCTTTTTTTTATAAGAACATTTTTCAGTTGCAAGGAAGTTTATAGTTACATGAAATCATAGCCATCCTTTTATTTCAAACCTCCTACAAATTACAAACGGCTTCTCAACTATCTCCTGATTTTAGTCTCTCTCTTCTTCCTTCTGTCCTTCCTTCTCATCCTTCCTCCAAATGGAGGAAAATAATAGCAGTTTTCAGCTCTAGGAAGGGCTATCATGGAAAAAGGAATGAACTCATTCTGTGTAACTCTAGTACTGGAGGATCTGAGACCTGTGGGTAGAAGTGAAAATTCCACATCCATCATGTGCCTCTCCTCTTCACATGCCTTCAGTGGCTCCCCATTCTGTACAGAATCTAAGCTCTTGACCCTGGTATTGAAATCTTTCATCAGCCAGTCTTATCACTTACCTCTCCCTGTGGGTAATCATATTCCTTCAAATGTGACTTGTGAATTATTGTTTTATTATTGTGCCTTTCTCTCTGTCATTTCTTCTGTTTAAAATACTGTCTTCTGTTTAGAACCTGCTTATCTTGAGGAACATATTTCAAATCCCTTATCTTCCAAGAAGTCCTCCTTGACCTACATATCCCCTAGTGATCTCTTCTTCCTGGTAGCACTCATCATTCATACTACTTTTTTGACCTTGAGGTTACAGAATATTACTTTCATCTTTTAAAGGCGTACCTTTATTTCCTCATTCACTTTGCACAAATCTTGATATTGAAATGGGACCTTCAGCCCTCCCTTGTCCCCCCCAAATTATTTAACCCAGGGTCTTAATTGAGTATAAGGAGAAAGTCTTTTCTCAATTTTAACTTATTAAAAATAATATTTGAGTCCTCTGAATATATTTTAGGTGGTAGTTCTCCGTAAAGTAATAATACAAAAACAGAATCCCAAAACTAGACCTGTATTTTTATTTTTATTTTATTTATTTATTTATTTATTTTAAAGATTTTATTTATTTATTTGACAGAGAGAGACACAGCGAGAGAGGGAACACAAGCAGGGGAGTGGGAGAGGGAGAAGCAGGCTTCCCGCGGAGGAGGGAGCCCAATGCGGGGCTCGATCCCAGGACCCTGGGATCATGACCTGAACCGAAGGCAGATGCGTAACAACTGAGCCACCCAGGCGCCCCTAGAACCTGTATTTTTAATGAACTTTTTAAAACTAAGAATTTAAAATAGGTGTGGTTTTATATTTCTTGTTTTAATTGGTGTCTTAGCTGTCACATTCAGTGGTTACTGAAATTTATTTTCAAAAAGGGATACCTGAAAAATTAGTGAATTTAGTTTGATATTTTTCCTAACTACTAAGCACAGATCTGGGAGCCATGGGTCTAAAATAATACAAGTGGGAGAAAGATAGGAAGCGAGAAGTGATGAGAAGAACGGAACTGAGATTTGGATGGTGATTCTTTCTGAAGTATTAGAGGTCAAGATTTTACTTATTTCCTGGGAATGTGTATGACATTGGTGCCAACTTTTGGATACGCGTTGAAATCACACAGTGAAGTTCTGTGACTTTATCCACACTCACAGAGAATCATTTTCCATCTGACCTCAGTCTGCTTTATTTTGTTACACTTTAAATGACAATACCTGAGTTTATGAACTGATGCTACTAACAAAACCTCCATTAATATGACATTTTTAACACACTGGAGAAATTACGAGTATTTTAATGTGATAATTTTCAAGGCTTACGTGTTTTTCAACTCCACATCATTTATATGAGTTAAGAAGTGGTTCAGCTCAAACCAGGTGAGGTTCCTGGGGGAGTGAAAGTCTAGCCTGGGTCAGAGTATCAGTAAACAATTACTATTTCCTTCATTTTACTGATGTCATTTAGAACTAAGCACTCATGATAAGTATTATGCTAATATCATGTAATTACTTTACATAATTGATTAGGAAAGGACTCACAGGAATCAGAATAGTTCGTAGTCAGAAAGGATGCACCACAGCAGCTTCGGGAGAAAGAAAAGCGGTAACAGGGTGGGCGTGGCGAACTCGGACACAGTCTTCTTTATCATCCCTCTACTGGGCCTCACAGGACTTGGTCTCCCAGTGCTGAACCACCATGGGCATGCATGTGCATGCAGCATCTTGGTACCAAGAAGTCCCAAGTCTATGTATGGTAGGGATTTCTCACTGAAATCATTGAAAACCCCTGGACTCCACCAAATCCAGGTAGAAGGAATAAATCCAATTATTATTGCCAAACAATTTTGACAAGCTAGTCTGTCTTGCCTTGAAACAGCTCACGGACCCATATTTGCAGAAGATCATTTATCCCTGGTTAGTACATCTCACAGCTTTGACTAAGGATCAGTACCATGCTCTAGGCGATTCTGTGTACTTTGTCAATCCAGCTGGTCTCTAGATTAACTCATGCTCTATAATGCATAGTGCATAACATATTTACCACTCTCCTTTTGACTTTAGATTCATACTACTTAGTATGTTTCTATTGTATATTTCTTCTTTTAAATTTTTTTTATTTGAGCGTATTTATTGTATATTTCAATGTTACCTGGTGAAAACCTAAAAAGAAAATGTTGTAAGTTATTTGAAAACCTATAATCTTTTTGGTGCTTGATAGAACGTAACTTGCCAAATGTCATATAGTTAAAAAGTTAGAAAAAAGTTCTTTTCTTATTGTCAGATCCTGCATTATGTAAAAAATAATTTAAATAGTTTTGATTCGGTTCATTTGAATCTGCAGGTTTATCTACTTACAATTCATTTTTATATCAGAACATATTAAGTGATGCTTTTCTTGGAGATCCTTAAAAGAGCCTTATGTCTGTTGGTCCATGTAAAGTTATGGAGAAAATACTTTTAAACTTAAAATTATAAAGTTATTAGGAAAAAATAATAGTTCAAAAGAGATAAAAATACTGGATATACCCATGGAAAGAAAGTAGGAATCTCTAGATATTAGGAGACTAATTAAAAGTTATACAAACTACTTTCCATTTATTTTTGGATACATAATTTAGCTTTCTGTGATGTTGTTTTGCTAGAGATGTCCCAAATGTAGACATTTCACTCAATCTCTTATGTTCTATCTCTGTGGACAAGGGGAAAAATATCTTTGAGTTATAGTATAGCCAGAGGATAGGTACAGTCATACAGCTGATTCTGTTACAAATTATAAATATTATTTAATGTATTCACTGGTATTTCTTTATGCACTTAGTACTAGGAATAATTGTCTTTCTCTAGTAACTGTTTTTTTTTCCCCATGAAGCCAGACCTCATGGATTCAGATTCTGGCTTAATCATTTAGATGTATGAGTTTATGGAAGTGTTTAATCTCCCTGTAGTTTCTTCATTTATAAAATGGGCATCATAATAGTACCTCCCCCATACATGTGAGATGAGTATTAAATGAGTTAAAACATGTAATGAATGCCTAGAAAAAGTTGAAATTCAATAAAATATTAGTGATTATTATTTTTTTCTGAAAACTCTGATGCCTTCTTAGGTGATCGTGTAGATTGTTAGAAAACTGAGAGTCGATTTTATAGCCTTTTCTAACAAAGGCACAGGATCTGATAGTCTGCAGAGGAAACCATTGTTACTGGTTTCTCCTTTTAGTTCTTTTGGAAGTACCAATATAAGTCTTTTCTTCATTTCTTGATTTTTCAGTTTTAGATAAAAATTTAATGATTGCTTTTATAAAACTTTCACCAATCAGGTTTTTTTTTAGTTAAAAACTTTTGCAAGAGTTTATGACATTTACTGTCTATTATAT